TGCTAGACTCAAAAATGGTAATTGTCTGCCAATTTCAGTCACTTTTACCAGGTTTCGATAGCAAACATGGTCAGAGCACCCAACCACTAACAGTTTATACATTTATATGGCATGAATGGTGGTAGGTTGTGTTTATAGAATCATTTTTGTTGAATGTGCACCAGCACATAGTATATAATGTTTGTTTATTATATTCTTATGTTGAATGAATTAGTTTAAATCATTTACCTAGAACTGTTCATGCTGTTGAACTGGTTTGTTGTCCTCATTACTGAAGGGACATTTATAGAAGTGGAAAAACAGAGAAAACTTGTATTGCTGCCTCTGTCCAATCTTGTTGGCCAAATGATGGAGGCTTTTTTACAACGGGGTTGGTTTTAATTTTTTTTATTATTTTGTAACTTTTTTTACTATATTTAAAAAAAAAAAAAAAAAAATGTATTATTTTTTATAACATTTGTATGTATTCTTTTTATCACTTTTTTATTATTATTTACTTGGTATCAATTTTATTTTTAATTTTTTTGCTATCACACAGGGGCTAACAAAACCTGTGTGATAGCATTTGGAGGTGACGGGTTCTCTTTATGGAGCCTGCCCTCCAATACAGGAGATCGAGCACAGCACTGTGCTCGATATCCTGTGCAGCGGAGTCGAGGAGCGCTTTGAGTACAGCGTTCCTGTCTCACTGATCACATGGAGCAGAACGGGGAACATAATTTGCCGTGGTCCTCTGTTCTACAGAAGATCGGCGGACCCTGAAAACTATGGCAGGGGGGACGGACCATAGAAGGAGGAGTAGGAGGGGGACGGACAAGCAGGCTCTCAAATCACTTGAACAAAATGGCTCCCCTGCTCTACATTTAGCCCTGCTGCTTGCCCACAGAAGGGCTAAATGTAGGAAAAAAACACTTACCTGGCATCTGGAACTGCATGTCTCGGACGTCGGGCGATAGGAATTCTGCACCCCTGTACATAGCATAACTTTTTAAAATAATATTTAACAGTTGCTGCTGACCTATTTATTTGCTGGCAAATCCTATACTTGACTCTATTTCTATAGGGGGCGGCTGGGCATTCATAACTGTAGGAACTGAATACTTATTTCCTATGCTCCTCAGCTCTATCTATAATGCGCTATTACATCACAATACATTTGACCTGAAAAGACGATATAATAAGAACGTTTGTTCTTGCCATTATTTGCAAAAAACAAAACTTTCACAGATATTCTAAGGTTGGAGGGCTCTGCAAATTGTTTATACAATTACCCCTTTAAAGGAGAACTATGGAGTCAGTGTTTTTCCCCATAGTTCTCTTAAGGGTCACGGGAAGACATAAACTAGCATCCTCCCGTCACCCAAAGCTCAGTATATTGCGAGCTACAGCTCGTGGTATACTGAGACCGCCGCAGCCGGGACGGATCCCGACATTACTGTCGAGAGCCACCCAGCTGCGTGAGTGATAGAGACTCTAGTGAAGTCCTGGAGGCGAGCATGGGAGGAGTTGATGAAGGAGCTGGAAAGCAGGAGGTCTTAGGACTGTTAGGGTGATCCTTTGAGACACGGTTGGAGATATAGCTGGGGGCAGAGTTGTGGATGGCTTTGTAAGTCGTTAATATTTAGAATTTTATCTTTTGGGCAATTGGAAGCCTACATCGTATTACATAAACATTGTTGTATAAAATCTATGTAATAAGGACATTCTCTAAATTATTTATTCTTTTTATTTGTTCTTACAGCATAGAATTATTATTATTATTATTATTACATAGGATTTATATAGCGCCAACCGTTTGCGCAGCGCTTTACAATATAAGGAAGACATTACAATCCCAATACAATTCAAGGCAAGATGGTAAGGAGGGCCCTGCCCCTGAGGGCTTACAATCTAAAAGGGAGGGGCAAGTGATACATGAGGACATAGCTGTGTTGAATTATATTTTGTAGAGCAAAAAAAAAAAAATGAAGACATCGCAGGTTCATTAATTGTTTTCAAAATTTCTGGTTGCGACCAATTTATGTGACTTCTATTTGGCAAATTACTATAACCTCATATAAAATAATATTTTAATGATGACTTACTTTTTTATGTCACCTGCAGCTATTTCTGGAATAAACATTCACTTATTTAATGAAATATCATTATCAGTATAAGCACTTCATACAACACGTAGGTGTGCAGAGAGTACATTTGGAAATGCGTATTATAAAATATTTATATTCATTGTGGTTTTCCTGAATTTCCGCCAAGAAAACATATTTCTCTTTTTTAGTCCTATGCAAATGGCGTGGAGCTGACGCACTTGTCTTATGAACTTCAAATGAAGCAGTTAGTCAATCTCGCTCTCATAGACTTCCTTCTCTGACTCACCCATGCTCAATACTTTCTCTTTCCATCAGCAGCTGACATTGGAAATCAGACTTATTCCCAGCTGAGCAGTCACTAATCACTGTATTCGCAGGCTATCAATTCAGCAAATCCTCTGGATAGAAATGATTCCTGTATTGCTTTCTACTTTATCTATTTCCTGCACGTCCGCTGAATGCCTAATACACAATTATGTACACTGTGTATGCTTATTAAAATTTGCCAACAGCAGACAGACCTCCTTCATATGAGGAAACATGCTGGCCAGTTATACATCAGCTTTTCTCAGTCAGGGTGCTGTGGCACCCTAGGGTGCATCAAAATGTTTCACACCGCGGCCTCTGTTGTGAGGGGGGCTCCTGTTGCAAAGGTCACTCTGATGTGAAGAGGGACTCTTGTTAAGGGGGGATTCTAATGTAAAGATGGGCTTGTAGTGTGAGAGGGGAAAACTCTGCTGTGAGGGGTTCTCCTGATGCAAAGTTGACTCTAACGTAAGGGGCCTTATGATGTAAAGAGGGGCTCCTAGTATGAAAGGGGAGCTCTGATGCAAGGGGGGCTCCTGATGCAAAGGAGACTCTGTAAAAGAGGAGGACTCGTGTGAAGGGGGGCTTCTGATGTAAAGAGGGGTTTGTATTGTGAGAGGGGAGACTCTAATGTAAGGGGGGCTTTTGATGCAAAGGTGACTCTGATGTGAGGGGGCTCCGGTTGCAAAGGTTACTCTGATGTGAAGAGGGGCTTCTAGTGTGTGTGGGGGGGGGCTCCTGATGCAAAGGAAACTCTTGTGAAGGGGTGCTTCTGATGTAAAGACGGGCTTGTAGTATGAGAGGGGGACTCTGTTGTGAGGAGGGCTCCTGTTGCAAAGGTGACTGTGATGTGAAGAGGGGCTCCTAGGGCTAGGGTGAGAAGGGGGCTCCGATGTGAAAAGTGGTGGTGGTGGGGGGGGGGGCTCTAATGTGAAGCGGGGAACCCTGCTTCTTTTTATGTTCTCGCATGGGCTTCCCCCTTAAAAGCCATACCAGACTCCTGTCTTGGATAAGGGTCTGGTATGGATTGCAGAGGGACCAAATGTCATTTTCTACATTTACATTTTTAAACTGGGGTGCCTTGATATTTTGCCTAATTTTAAAGGGCACTATGACTGAAAAAAGGTTGACAAACGGTGCTCCAGATAATTAATTATGTTCTTTTTATACATGTTTGTCTGTGAATGGAGCGCCATATACAGTGTGTTTACTTGGCTCTAGTACATGTGCAATAAGTTTATTTGTAAAAAAAAATAGAATAAAAATCAGTTTAAAAACACGCAAACCTAAAAGTAAATGAACAATTGGCCTATTGGAAGTTCTCGCTAACGTGTGTAAAGCCACAACTTTTTTTTTGTAAGTTTGAGATAGAGTAGCTAAGTGTTTAGGACTGTTTGATCTTTTTGTTGCTGTCGGTGCCCCTTCTTTGGAGAATGAGCCCTCTATTTGTGCTGCAGTCCATTTTCACCAAGACAAAAAGTAAAGGGAAATCCACACTTTTTGGGTTTTTACTAGAGAAAAAAAGGTGAGAATAAATCATGGAATGGGGACAAATGTTCCCTGACAACAGCCTAAGAGCGGAATTCCCTTTTATGTGCCTGTAGGACAGGAAGTGAAGGGAAAGCTCCCCAGTGAGACACAGACAGCAAAGGATAACCCGATAGTGGTGGTAACCCTTTTTTTACGCTCTCCAAAACTAGAAAATATGTTCTGTATATACTGTACCTTTTTAAAACATTTTTGTCACTGGTAATCATGTGCTGTTAAAGTGGACTTTTCCATAGAGTAAAGGAGGGTTATAACCCGTCATCTTTTTTTTTTTTTTCCCCCCTATCTGTATCCCGTTGGGGACATGTCTGTTCACTTCCTGTCCAAAAGCCACACCAGGAAGTGAGAGGAAATCCCTCCAAAGAGAGGCATAACCCTGGTGGTTAGCAGGGTCACCAGAACTAGTGACCTTATCGGGAGATTTCCCAACTATTTCTGTTCTGATGACAACCCAACATTTGGGATTTTCTTTCACTTTCAGTGATAAGTCACCAGGACAAATGGGGAGGGTGTATCTTCCTAACGGGGACACAGACAGCAATACAAACCTGACTACTCTTTTATGTAGTGAGCAACTTTCTGTATTGCCGGTGTGCTTTGCATCTCTTTTCCTGCTGTTTGATGTGATGCAATTTCCATTTCTCAAGACTAGATATCCCATCATGCATTGCTTCCAGCAAGCAATGATAAGGCTACATTGTTCAGACATTGAGTTGTAGTTCAAAAGGCCGGCTCTGTGAGAGTTGTGACACAAGGAAGTGAATAATCACAGGGCCGAGTGAAATTGTGTCAGGGTGGTCTTCCTCGATGCACTTTAGGCATCTTCAATAAGTAAGTTTACAAACTTCTAGCTGGATCTGGTTATTAGGAGTGGGATAGAAGTTATGGAAATGCAATATAGAAATACAGATTTATGTTCAGTTTTTATACTAATAATAAATAAAAGCTAGATTTCATTTTTAGAAACCATTCCATGAGGACCCCAGATTTATAACTATAAACTGCCATTTCCTCATCTACTGTACTGAAACAATAAATGAATCTGTATTTCCTTTGCAGTGAATAATCCTATTCCTTCCAACTTGAAGTCTGAAGCGAAAAAAGCAGCAAAAATTTTAAGAGAATTCACAGAAATCAGTTCTAGATCTGGACCAGATAAAATTATCCCAGGTACGAGTGTTGTTTACTATAGAGTTTGTTGGTGGGAAAGTTACATGTCCTTTCCAGATTCAAAGTTTGTGACTACGCTAGAATGTGTGACCGGTCACATGGTCACACATTTTAACGTAATCCCGCCCAGTTTTTTGGCGGTGGAATGTGTGACCGCCCATTTAGGTCAAGCATTCCAATGCTTTCTCAGCTGTTCCAGTGCAGATCGGCATCGCAAATCGTATGCGCAGGAGAACAGATCTGCCTTGGAACAGCTGATCGGTCCTAAATTGAACTTCTATCGGACTTTGTGAATGCGGTGGAATGTCAGATCGTACTCACAAAGTCGGATAGAAGTGACATTTCAGGACCGATCAACTGTTCCAGGACAGATCGGTTCTCCTGCACATACGATCTGCGATGCCGATCTGCCCTGGAACAGCTGAGAAAGCATAGGAAAGCTTGACCTAATGGGCGGTCACACATTCCACCGCTGTGAAACTGGGCGGGATTACGGTAAAACGTGTGACCACGTGACCAGTCACACATTCTAACGTAGTCACAAACTTTGATAGAACACTGGCAGTGCCGGTCACCAAGGTGGGTACTCCATATATTACTCACAGCAATATGTAGAGGATTCACAACAGTCAGGTGATGATTCCATTACTAAAACCATGTGACTTACATTTATGTTCTGTTTCTAAAGCAGTGAATCTGACATTCACCAAACATTTTACTGCAGATGAATCTTCCTGCTGCATGTGTTTTAAAGGATAATTATTCATTCATCACCGGTGAAAGTCATTCACTGCTTTATAAAAAGGCCCCTTAACCCTTTTGCTGCCAGCGATGTAAGGCATACGGCACTGGTGTCGGGCCCCTTTAAACAGATTCCTGGTCTGGTTACCTGTGTAAAGCCGACTGTCAGGTTTACATTGGAAGCCGCCAGATCACCTCCTTGCTTCCCAGGCTCCACTGCCCTACCTGTGGGCCCAGGATCGGCATCGTGGGTGTTGGTCGTAAGCAGGGAAAAAGACCAGCGAACATCCATTCACTGATCTCCTCCCTGGTGAAGCTGGTAGTGACGCTTAGTGGATCACTTAATAGCTAGAGAAGCCAGGGAAGAAGCTGATCAAGCATGATCTGTGCTTCATTAGCTTCGATGGGCTGCAAAGGTGACATTAGTGGTCTGAATTGCGGAGTTCTTCTCCCCACAGGCTTGTGTATATTTTTTTAATTCAGCACAGCTATGCGTGGCTCCGCCCACGCAGCCACATCATCATTCACAGATCCGTTGACTGAATCTGTGAATAGAGAAGCCATAAGTTCCATCAGCCACTGCAGCTCTCAATGGAATACAAGTGTGACATCACTGCACTTGTAGTCCATTCATTCTTCCTCCCGTGCATGTTACCGAATGTCTGCACCGAGGTATGGACATCGACGGTAGGAAGAATCTGCAGGGGCCAGAGCATTGTACCTGTGATCTATTGATGTATGATTGCGTTGCTTTACTGGCTCCAATGCCAAAAATAATGGACATTTTGTGTGCACTTATTTTATTATTGTTGTTGTTTTTTTAAAAGGTAGAGTCTCCCTTTAGAATGGAATTCCAGGCATACAGCTACATACAAAGTTGAAATAGATGTTGACTGTTTTTCTTGCCAAATGATTGGTAACGCTTTACAGCCAATCCTATGATTGGAAGGCAAAGTATTGGGAGAGTAACGTGTACTGTTCCCAATACTTAGAGCCGGTGTATAACGCTACAGCTGTCGCATGCCAAATCTATAGATCGAGAACTGAATGATTACAAAGTGCTGATCACGGTCTTCTCCCTGCAGAGAGTAGTGACTTGTCAGTCACTTGTTCCCCGCAGGGATTCCCCCCTCCCCTCTCCATTCTTTCAGCACTCATTGGAGGGACAGACACGGGAGGGGGCGGGCACAGCTGGCTCTAGCTCTAGAGAGGCAGAGCCAGCTGTCAATCAGGTAGTGAGGTGGATCCTGACAATATTGTCTGGATCTTTCCAGGCTGCAGTACGGCTATGTTCAGTCATAAAATAGCGGCCTCAAGTCACAAGAATAGATTAGTATATGTTCTCCTTACTATTAACTCTCAAGCAACCAGAAACTACAGTTATCCGGCATCTACCGATCCCTTTGGGTGCCGGATAACTGGGAGTTTACTGTACTTAACTTTCCGGTAGCCCATGTGTTAAGCAGATGCTGTGTTTCTGATTTCTCACCACTGCAGGCGTTTTGACACTTTGGGTGTTTCGAACATCTGCTCCCCCTCGGTACTGCAGTTCCTCTCACCTGGCTATTCATATTCTGTGTTCTGATCTTTTATTTTGTGAGAGTGGAATGACAGATATTGATATGCGATCTATATTTGTATCTGTGGGCTTAAAATAGGCAGAAAGCAAAGAAGTCAGGTATTGTCTGATTGCTCGGGTAGCCCAGATCTCAGGCTAACATGCTGTGTCACTACCACAGAACAAGGATGTTAATAAGGAGTTCTGGCATTACTCTGCCTTTTTCTGATACCCGTAGTTGTCCTAAGTTAATGACTATGAAAGTATTGAAGCCATAAGGCCGGCATAATAGCCGGGCAATTAGATTGGCAATGGCAGCCCCCATATTTCCATCAAGAAAGCGTTACTTTAAATGCTCAGCAGGGATTGGGGGATTGATGATCGTTTTTTAAAATTGTATTTGAGCAGTGGTGTTTTCCATTGTGTGACATCTGTACAGAGCTGAAATGAAGAATAATACAAGTCTGGAAACTAATGTCCATCATACATCAGAGCTAATTTTACCATTATGAACCCTGCGGGTGTAAACTAATCGCATGTGTGCCTATCAATATCTGATCAATGACGCTCCCAATGAAATGAACAGGAGGGTTTATTGCACACATGTGGCATGGATTTGTGCTCAGTCTGTTTTCCCGATTGTTTTAATTTATTCACTGTATCTACATTATATCTGTGTTCTCTTTTTTTTTCTCCTGTGCAGCTCATGTCATTGCCAAAGCACAAGGCCTTGCCATTCTGTCTGTCATAAAAGCCGGCTTTTTGGTGACGGCTCGAGGAGGAAGTGGAGTAGTCTTAGCACGCCTTCCGGATGGACGTAAGTCATTTCCCACTCACTTCACTGACATGATCACACCTACCTTCTAAATGGGCTTCAGCTCTTACCTTACTTACCATTACTAATACCCAGGGAGAATAGTAAAAATAGCACACTGCTTGTATCAAATGTATCATATATAAATCTTATTCTTACGTCGGCATGTTTTGTTTATTCAATAAAAAAATGTCTGCTCTCCATAAGGAGATCTCGCAAAAGAGCAAAATAAAAAAATCAAACTTTAAGTAAATAATTGTACCAAAATGTAATTAATTGCTAAAAACTGCACAATACACAAACATCTAAAATAATTAAAAAGAGCCTTGTCAGCAGTAGATATAGGCAAAAAAACGGGAGACTTAAGAACCCCTTTAATCAGCCCGGGAGGGATAGATAATGTCAGGATGCACATGCAACCGATGCCGCCTGAGTTCAGGTCCTCAAACAGGGAAGGACAATAGAAACGTACAGCCGTACTTTTTGGATGAAAATTTGATGGATACTTATCTCATCCATGTGAATGAACCAGAAAGGTTCACTGAAGATAAATCCAGCAATGTTGCTATATGACAAACGTGACGCCCCTCTGATGAAGCCCTTTGGGGAGAAACGCATAAGAGAGCAGTGTTGATTTGCTTCCCCCTCTGTGGTATGGGATATACATCAAACTGTTGTTTGCAATTGCAGAGAAAGGAGAACAAGTTTGTCATACAGCAACATGATATCATTGCTGGATTTATCTTCAGTGAACCTTTCCGATTCATTCACATGGATGAGATTAGACGCACACACGCACCGAAATGGAAATTTCAAAAACAAAATTGTTAGACCGAAAATGTTTTTTATTTAAATTTTTCCAAATTGTTTAAATATTTTATTTATTTTTTATAAACTTTTTAATTTTTTAATCTATTTTTTTATTAAATATTTTTATGTTTTACTTTAGGGGCTTCGGGGAAATATTGGGGGTCTAGACAGACCCCTGATATTTCCCTTTTAAAATATAAAAAGAGATTGAGAACACAGAGTCCTCAATCTCTTTTTCTGTGTCCCCTGTTATCAATGAACAGGAATCCTCCATATTGAGTGTTCCTGTTTATTCATAACATGAGAACAGAGTATGTTTACTATAACCACAATCATGAATGAACAGGAGGGGATGTAGATCACTTCCCATTCATTCATAATTGAGGCTATAGTAACCATACTATGTCCTCAATTATGTACAAACACTCAGCGATCACTGATCGCTGAGTGTTTGCATTGGCTCTCCTCTCTTACTCGCTGTCACAGGAGGCTGAGCGAGCGGTGCAGGGAGGAGAGCTCAGCCTCCTATGACAGCGCTGGCTTTCTCCGCCCCCACACCGCTCTGCCAGGCTGTGATAGGAGGCTGAGCAATGTGGGAGGAGAGACGCCGGCCGTTCACAGCGCTGTTCTCACACAGCGCTTGGCCGGCTGTCACAGTTTCTCTCCTCCCCGCTGGGACACAGAGCAGCGCCCAGCGGGAGGAAAGAATGCAGGGATGCGCCGATGCATCAGCAGGAAAATGGCACTTTCGGCATCTAGCCAAAAGTGCCATTTTTGGCCGATATGTTTCGGCGGCCGATATATCGGTGCACCCCTAATTTATATGACCATATTCATATATAGAGTATATTTAAAAATAAAATAAACTTGATAAATATTATACAGTTTACTTCAAGAATGCAAAAACCTGAAGCATTTTCCACCCAGCGTTTTGGATATTTCAAGAATTTGTGCAGGTTATTAGGGGAAACTTGATTCTTGATAAGTTCTGTTAATGCGGTAGAGGAATCCCCTGCCTTGACTTGCTGTATGCAGGTTGATGAAGGGTTGAAGTTTTGGTTTAAAAGAGAAGTATTTGGAGAGTTAAACATACTCTTCCCAATACTTAGGGCTAGTGTGTCACACTGCAGCTGTCAGGTACATGTTCTGTATACCTGACATCTGAGAGCTGAGCGTTATACAACAGTTTCTGCCCTCTCTGTTACTCCAGCGCTCATTGCAGGGACAGAAATCGGAGGGGGCGGGCACAGCTGGTTCTGGCTCTAGAGAGGCAGAGCCAGCTTTCAATCAGGCATCTGGGTGGATTCCAACAATATTGCCAGGGTCCTTCCCAGCTGTGGCGCGGCTCGGAACTGTCAACATATAGCAGATGGCAGTCTCGACTAAAAAATTTGATCCTGTGACCCAAAAGAGAACTAAAGCAAACAAAAAAAAAAGGGTTTGCCTTCTCTTTTAGAGGAAACTAGGAAAGAAAGAAGCATAGGCGTCCACTGTTGACCTCTTCTAATAATGCTAGTTCCCTCAGGGTCACAAAAAGTATTCAATCCAAAAGAGACTTTTGAAGTGCCTGTGAAGGTTCTCATATGTCACTCAGCTGGACATGGTTTATACTTTTGAAGATGGTTGAGTACTCATCCAAGTGCCTTCCTTAGTTCAAATGAGTGTTGTGTACATACACTACTTTTATAGCTGCATGGGAGACTCGGTCACCTTTATCAAATCCCAATGGTGCCCTGAAATGCGATCAGGAAGATGTTAATTGTCAAAGAACATGAAAGGAGGTGTGAAATGTGAAAACCCTATTTTATTTTTTTATAATCCAATCCCCTCGTTGCCTTGAAATATGGAGCTGGTGTTAATAGATTGAGTTACATGGCTAAAAGTGTAAATTGCTGTCAGGTTTCTGGGTAAAGATGTTAAAACTGCATTATGTGAGAGTTCCTGAGCTCCTTCCGTTCTAGAATGTAACTTACACCTCTTACAATGAATGTAATTTCCTTGCTGGTTTTCATTCACTATTGACTAACTCCGTCTTTGTTTACACTAGGATGGTCCGCTCCTTCTGCTATTGGCATTGCTGGACTTGGTGGGGGGTTTGAAATTGGAATTGAAGTGAGTATTAAAGTGGCCACATATTTACTTTCTAATGAACAGATATGTTTCTTTTCCTGTCACATACTGAACAATATAAACATCATTTGTTTTTTTGGCAATTGTGAACGTATTTTTTATGTTTCTCATTGAAAGTATAAATGTTTGAAAGTGTGGACCAACTGGCACAGGAAGTACAAGTGACTTCAGAGATAGTGACAGGATGATGGCTGAAGGCTGAAGTCACTTGTACTTCCTGTGCCAGTTGGTCCAGTAAATAGCAGGCAATAGCCAGCTATATACTGAGCTTTGGGTCACGGGAGGAGGTTAGTATATGTCCTCCCGTGACCCTAAAGAGAACTATGGGGAAAACACTTACCCCATAGTTCTCTTTTAAGGTACTTGAATGCATTTTTTACATTTAACTCCTGAGTTTAGTGTCACTTTATGAGAGTGAACCAAAATGCAAAGAATAAACCCAGAAAAGAACTGTTGTGTGGCATGCAACATAAACTGTCAAGGGATACAGGAAATAACTAGTCCATGTGGATTGTAATACATACTAAGAGAATATAACAAGAGTTAATAGTTTTTGGACTAATAAGTTGGTCTCTTCTAGACACAATGCAAAGCAATGAATGGATACAAACCTGGGTATGGAAGGGATAAGCCTGCAATAGCTTTTAGAAATGTATTGTAAAAATTTGATGTTTTTCATGTAATAACAACAAAATATTGTGATTTTATATGAAGCATGGCTGTCATAAAGTAGCTTGGAGGTACCTCAAAAATCCTGGAACCATATAATTTTTTTTTAGATGTATGCTAAATCTTTCTTTCTTTCTTTCTTTCTTTCTTTCTTTCTTTCTTTCTTTCTCTCTTTCTCTCTTTCTCTCTTTCTCTCTTTCTCTCTTTCTCTCTTTCTCTCTTTCTTCTTTCCGTATGGAGGGGACATAGATGAGTTATTTTTCCAAACACATCAGTAGTTCCAAAGAAGAACAACTGTAATTATGGTACTTTGTTTAGACAAAATGTCAGCATTAAATGTAACACTAAACTGCATACTTACACTAACATGAAATATTTCCTTTGCTGTGCTTTCTCAGATTTGATCACATAGTGAATGTTGTTAGCTGTTATTTCACATGATACATTTGAGTCCTGTGTAGTGGCTCATTAAGTCTGTTCCTTGAAGCAGAGCTTGACTTACTCTGTGCTCCTAACATTACATTTGTGACAAACACAGCAAGTGTAATAATGAAGTTCCCTTGGCATGTCATATGCAACTGAAGGCTGAGGGCTGACACCGGCCTAGACTCTGTAGAATCGTGTAGGAATAACACTTGTCATATGTCTGAGTCTCTAATGAAGTGACATGCTGCTCACTGGGATTTAATTTAAAGCCATTCAGTGTAACCTTACTGTCAGTAAGACTGTGGAATTGGCAGAAAATAGATCAAAGGTTAAATATCCTGCATCTAAATTGTTTTAAGGTTAACGTGAGGCATATGGAGCATGCAGTTGAATTTCAGGCCATCTGTGTTTCATTTCACATTATGTGGCCATATGAGACAGATCAGGCCTTTTGGTGGTTGGGCATTATTATTATTTTGGATATGTGATGGTGGACACTTTTATACAGTCTGTACAAGGATTCAGCACACAAAGAAACGTGAAATGCACACAAGGACACATGGATATTCTTTCACTTCCTATAGACACATCAGGAATTATGAAGACATCTTTCCAAAATGAGGGAAACAATGCATTATGGCCATGAGATGGAGCTGAGGAGCATAGGAAATACTTATTTCCTGAAGAAGCCTGTGGAACCTGGTTGGCTGAGTTCACTCTGGTTTCTTTTATACCATGGATATTTCAGCAGCGAGGACTCAAGTTCTATAAATCCTGACTCTGTTTCTATCCACCTAAGAGTTGTGGGTGTTCCACCCTACCTTTGCCTGTCCCAGCACTTCAGATTACATTCTTCCTAATATAAAATAAATAAATCCAGCAGAGGGAGTGGGAAGCCCTCATAATGGTCCCAAGGCATGCAAACATAAGAACTCAGGTGTCAAGATCTTACCAGTAGAGTCCTTAAAGGAGAATTATGGGGTGAGTGAAAAACACTTATCCCCATAATTCACCCTTACCTGTGACACTAAAGCTGTCACAAGGCGGCTCTATTGATTGGGAAGTCAGAGAACAGATACCACCTATCACTGACTTCCCGATCGTCTCCCTGCCGTGAGCGGTGCATGTCAGTCACTGTTCCCTGCAGGGATTCCCCCCCCCCTCCATTTCTCCAGCGCTGACTGGAGGAATGGACAGGGGAGGGGGCGGGAACAGCTGCCTCTGCCTCTAGATAGGCAGAGCCAGCTGTCAATCAGCCAGCGGGATGGATCATGACAGTAGTGTCAGGTTCCGTCCTGGCTGCAGCATGTCTCTGCGCTCTTAGCACATAGCGAGCAATAGCCTGCTATACAGGTGAAACTCGAATAATTCGAATATCGTGCAAAGTTCATTTATTTCACTAATGCAACTTAAAAGGTGAAACTAATATATGAGAGAGACTCATTACATGCAAAGCAAGATAATTCAAGCCGTGATTTGTCATAATTGTGATGATTATGGCTTACAGCTCATGAAAACCCCAAGAACCCCAAATCCACAACCTCAAAAAAGTAGATTATTACATGCAATCAATAAAACAAGGATTGTACATAGAACAATATCGGACCTCTGAAAAGTACAAGCATGCATATGTACTCAGTACTTGGTTTGGGCCCCTTTTGCAGCACTTACTGCAATTACTTTTGCATGATATTCTAATTATTCGAGTTTCACCTGTATACTGAGTTTTGGGTCACCGGAGGACATAAGTGTATGTCCTCCTGTGACTCTGAAGAGAACGATGGCCAAAATAAGGTTACCCCATTGTTCTCTTTTTAAAGTGATATTAAACTCAGGAGTTAAATCTTTAAAAGTGCATTCAGGTACCTTAACTATTAACGAAAATGTATGTTATTTGTCTATCACTTGGCTGTAGATCCTCAAATCATCTCTGAATTGGTACTGACACTGTCCTTCCTTCTGGAGGGCGGCTACTTTTGTTCCCCATAGTCCCTGTGTGTGTTGTAAATAAGCCACCGCTCCAAGCTCACTCCTGTGATGGATTACAATCTCAATAAAAATTAAACATGAGATTGTCCATCCTGGGGGCGAGCTTGGAGAATGGTTTATTTACAACACAAACAGGGATCCCGAGGAACAAAGGTAGCCACCCTCCAGAAGGAAGGACAGTGGCAGCACCAACTCAGAGATGATTTGAGGATCTACAGCCGAGTGATACACAAATAAGATACATTTTTGTTCATAGTTAAGGTACTTAAATATATTTTTAAGATTTAATTCCTGAGTTTAGTGTCAGAAATGTAACATATTTTTTGCTGGTTTAAATTTTCAACATCTACCAAAAAACAAAATGTCATTTTGGGGTGGAGTAACCCTATAAATAAGAAGTAAAAAGTGGAAGTTTCTTCCCAACAGCCAATCCCATTCCAACTCCATTTTTTTAATTTTTGTGTGAAATTGTAAGGAAGGCTCACGTTAATGTGGGTACAACCTCCTTTTTAAACTTTTAATGCTTTCGGCAATACTTCTACTACATAGCTCATTTCTTTTTTTCTGGTACTGTCGGACATTTTGTCTTGTATAGAAGCACAGATGTATGAAAATAGTATTGTATGTATGTCTTTTGTTATATTCTGAAAACCTTCAATAAACATTTTAATATGAAAAAAAAGATGTATGAAAATAAAAATGTGCTACTAATGAAGCTAGTTGATCTTTTGATACATATCTCACGAGCCTCTAATCATTGAATGGAAATCCAGGTGGGGTTGATTAGAGTAAATCTCTTTCATGGTACATCAGACAGACTTCTGGCTGAGTAACTTGGATTAGACATCTGCTTCAGGAAACACACCGGAGCAGCGCACTTATCTTTTCCAATTTCTCCAGGAGAGACACACTTCAACCTCCGGCATTCTTTATGAACATTGAATTGTCACGTTGTTATTCCCCTTGTGCTTATTAATCTCTGGAGCGGTAACTAACCATAATTTTCTACAAAGGGTTTCCTAGACGGGTTCCTCGTTCACCTTCTGTTCTTCCTTGTTATATCTTCTGCCACTCACTGTGCTCTCAGGTTAAAGGAAAGGTCTCTCTCCTGCCTTTTATGAGAAAAACTGCTAAAGTTAATGTGTATGTTTCCCCAAATAGTATCTATGCTATTAAAACTTGGTTCCCTTTGTTTACCAGTTGGAAATCATTGCTCTGGTGCAGGGGTAGCCAAACTCCGGACCTCCAGCTGTGGTGGAACTACAAATCCCATGAGGCATTGTAAGATTCTCACAGCCACAGACATAACTCCCGGAGAGAGATGCATCATGGGATTTGTAGTTTCACCACAGCTGGAGGGCCGGAGTTTGGCTACCCTTGCTCTGGAGGATAAATATAGAGCAATAGAAGACGTGAATACATTCTTTCTTGCAGAAAATGATGCTGCTGGTAGCCTGTTATCCTGGCCAAGAGACAAAAAGCCAAGCACTTGATTATATTGCCTCTGTTGAAGAGTTGAATCCATGTTCAAACTGAACATGGATCACATGACAAGCAGAGATCACATGACCAGGAGCTTTGGACTTGCTGCTAGCACTAGCGGTAGCCTGGGTTAGAATATTTTCTTTAGGAAAGGTGTTTTTTTTTAATCTGCTCTTCTGTTATGCTATGTTATCCATCCCAGCACGGTTGTTACTAGCTTTTAAATCTCAATTGAATAGGCCTGCCCTCTGGCAGCATGCTTTAGAGAAGGACTTCTTGTCTCTATGTGGACAAAGTGGTCTCTCTGCAAAAGTCCATCATGCCCATGCTGCATGAGACTTCTAGTTACAAAACAGCAAAGCTTGTGCTTCCTGCTGATTAGAGAGGTCTAGCTCTGACTCAGCAGGGGTCATGTTGGCCTTTTGCAGAGAGACCACTGCTTCCACACAGAGAGCAAGGGTCCTACTCTTTCGCATCCTAGCAGAGCACATGTTTTTCTATTCGGGCTGTGGCTGTTTTCTAAAGTAAGATTTTGTAAGGCTTTTGGTTTTGATGCACTTGTAATCTATTTAGCTGATTGAAGAGAGTTCAGTTGTACATTTAGGCTAACATTCCCTTATAGGGCATTTGGTAAAATCTAGGGTGCAGGATAGGTGTGTCCAGTGACAATTATCTATCCCGAACCGCAGGTAATCGTACCATGTATGATTTCATGCGGACTGCCACTGAGAGATGGGGCCGCTGTCGGTCTGTCAATACCTTGAACAGGCACAGCAGCCACATCTGAATGGGCACACCTGAGATTTCTGCCGCAAGAATTCAACCCCTGTGGTAACAAAGGGAAAAAAGACTAATAATGAACTGCCACATCTAAGAATAGGTAATCCGCAATATACTGCATTTTTACTTTTGGGTTTCGATATGGTTTAAGTTTAAGATATCTAAGTTTTTTCTCTCCTGTCAAAAATAAATAAATAGATAAACAGCCTTGTGTACACTTCCCGAAATGTTGCCTCTTTTTCACCTTCTCTTTTTTTTTTGTTCACCCCTATTCTGCAGTGTTTTTACTGTTTCTCATTACTGAAGCTTGCCTGTCTATGAACAGAATTTTGTTTTCTCTTTACCATTTCACACTTTTATAAACAACTAGTAGCGCTGTCTTGTAAAAAGAAGGGCCCCATTGTGCTGGCTGGTTTATAAGTAGCCCTATAGCACAAGGCTATATAGAACTAAACGCTTTTAACACTGCAAATACTTATTCAGTATGGCTATGCCCACAGTGACTTTGCATTGTAAGAATAATTCAGACTTGGTAAAGTCATGTAACTTTTTTTTGTTGTTGAGTCTTTTAAATAAGAATGAGTATTCTCAAATATAACCAATCAGTAATGGCCATGTGTAAGAATAGGGATCACCAATCTGTTTTAATTTTGCTGCCTTACATTGTATGGATTGATGTGTATTGTTATTAACTTGTATTTCCTCCCTGTCGGAACAGAAGTACCCGTTGTGTGGCTGTAACCTTTCTAATGAGGCTGACTGATCTACTCCAGTAGACAACTGACACTCGCTCCAGGTTACTGGGCCAGGCTAAACTATCTGTTAACAACGCCATTAGTTTTCTAACTAATAGAAAACTCAGCACACTCACCAGCTAGCATGCAAAAAAACCTGTCTTACCGCTAAGGTTAAAAACAGCGGTTTTAGATACACGTCTTCTGCAGAATATGTGAAAGCCGCACTGCCTCGTCAAGGCCCCTCTGTGTAGTGCGGTCCTAGCTCTAACCTATGAGAGTCTCCATCTTGGAGCACATGTAGCAAAAGATAAAATTGGGTGCTGGTTCGCCAGGTGGCAGCCCAACCTCCTTTAAAGGCACAGGGACACAGAAGGGACCCCACACATCACAACGGCAGCTGAAGCCCCCCAGTGTGTCACTGTACTAAATCAGTCAAGCAAAACAAATGGCAAACACACACTGTTATCCATACTGAGCTCTTATATGAAATCATACATCCTTACAGCCTCACCTTTTTGCTCTGATGGGAAAAGAGTACAAGTGATAGATATGCAATCAAGTAATCCATGAGAGGTGTATATTGACAATTCAAGAATGGTGATTCTGATTATTACATTGGTGATTGGTTCTCTAAAGTGCCATGGGTTAAAAAAGTGAGTAGGTAGAACTTGTTGACAGGTTCTCTTTACTGTATGAGTAGTTCCTTCATCACATTGGCGTGATCCAGAATGCACAAAAATCTGACCCTTTCAATATATGCATATCCAAGCTTGTTTTTAATCCACAGAGAACATAATATGCATATCATATACCGTATGATATTGAAAACTCATGATGTATCCAAAGATAACACAGGAATGAATGTTATATGTTTAGTTAGCTGTCTCTTGTTGACAGTATAAAGTAATTCAGGAAGTTTTATGTGTGGAAATTAAGGGTGAACTATCTAATGCTCTCAGAAGATTGACACCTACTACTTGTATGGGTGGCCAGGCAAAAGGGAAGTCATTTTTCCTTTTTTTTTTTTTGTATAGTTGGGTATATTTTACAGAAATAATAAGATAAATAATAAAAATGAGAATTTCAGTGAGCTACTGGAGTTACTAGCTGTATGTGTAAAATAATATGTATGAAATAAATGTATTATACACATATGAAGCCTGGCTTCTGGGTAGTGCTAGACTAGGTGTGGAGAGCAGCTTTGGCATACAAGACACAGACCACATATGTGCACATTACCAAGCCTTTCTAAGACTACTGAAACCATAAAATGTATGTAGTTCCAATTTAGTATAATAATAGAGAGAAGTTTTGAATAGTACTGTCACCACCAACTCTCAAGGTGGCTCCCCAATTCCTGCTGATTCCGGGGAAATTTAAGCCGTGGATGGCCCTATTGGTGCCCTCATTCCTAATGGTTATGTCCTATTTCTTTAAAGAACCCTGCACCTTTCTTCCCCCTCCAGCACTCCCAGGGAGTGTTGAAGGCTTTCTCAGCAAGGCAGAGGGAAGATGCTCACCCTTCTTTCTGAGTGGGACCTGAGGTTCGTAGCTTCTGGCCACAGCCCCTGAAGCTTGCAAAATTCTGCCATGACAGTGGTGAATAAGCAGAGCTTTATTAGCATAATCTCTTCTCATCTTTGTCACTGGTAGTGTGCAGGTTCATTCCCACACACAGGTTAAGGCAGTCTGTAATGACAGCCAGTGAGATTGGTGAGTGAAGAGACTATGGTGCCCAATACAAGCAGGGAGAAAACTCTCCTCTACAGAAGTCTCCATGCTGTCTCACAGAACTACACATCATGGGGCCCCATAGCAAAATCCCCTACTGTCATTGATCTTGACTTAAAGTATGTCTAAATTAATGGCACATAGCAGGAGAGCATTAGTATAGTCAGCACAATCCTAGGGACCAGTGCTTCTTCATTATATTCTGACAGCAGCTGGCGGCTCTCAGAATACCCGAACAGAGCCGAGTGCTGTATGGCTGGCCGCTCTGTTCATTTAAAGATTTTCTGACCGGCTCCTTCAATTATCTGATCGAGGGACGACAGGTGGAAGGGTGCTGAAAGCAGCACCCACTGCGAATTTCGGCCAGTTCATCAAGAAGACTCGCATTAAAGTTCATCTCCCCCACAACGAGGGGTTTCTGGGATTGTTGTATAGAATTCTTTGATTAGTGTGTGTGTATTTTATTTAATAATTTGTTGCATACAAATATATTTAGTTTTCCAAACAATTGACAAATTGGTGACAAGTAATTGTAAAAGTGTTTAACTCAACTCAGTGCTGGCTCTCCTATGTGTTTAGAGCAATTAGTGTTTTTCCTTGAGTTCACCACCATATGTGGTCTATAGCTCCATGTGGACATGAGTTACATCCTCCCCAACATCACATGCCTTAATGGAATCTTAAAAATTAAATGAATATATGAAGCAGTTTTTACAATGAGAATCAGATGCAGTGTCTCAATTTGCAGTGATAGTCACTGATACAGGTAGGTATTGAATGGCTAGATAGCTTTTACAGAAATGTTATGCCAGGCCTTATGATTCACTTGCATCAATAATTCTTCCAATCATTGATCAAGCTTGGAACAAATCAGTTATACCCAGTGCTCGTCTGTTGAAGACTGCAGTCTTAAAAACCAGCTTGGTAAAAAAATGCTGTTTTGAGTTGCTGTCATTAGTGTAATGTTGGCGTTCTGAAATTACTGATTTGTCAGCCCTTTCTCATACTTTTCTCCGGGCATGTTGTCATAGATTATACTGACTCGGCAGAAAAAGTAGTCATTGCAGAACACAGCTCTTTTTCAGGCAGTTTTGTAATTGACACATACCATGTACCATTTCACTGGTTCTCTGCAGCAGTATAGAATCAGAAGTTCATCCCACTCTGGAATAGAAGATCAGGGCGCTAAGGCAAGCAAACAATTGTTAATTTTTCCTATGACTGACTATAGTTTCTCATTATAAATGTTTACAGTCAATTATGGTATTAGCTAAAAATCTACTGAACATTACTAAATATTTGATCAGATCAAAGTATGAACATGATAAAGTTCTATTGTGATCATTTTAAATGATTTTCCAATTCACACTTCCACCAATTACTTGTCATATGGTTGGATAAGTCTGCATATTTAAACTACAAAGGACAGTGTTGTAAAGATAATTTTTTTCAACATTTCTGGTATTTGTTTTTTTTGTTTTCCAAATAACAGGTATCTGATTTAGTTATCATCCTAAATCACAAAAGAGCAGTAGAAGCTTTTGCCAAAGGTGGCAACCTCACTCTCGGAGGGAATTTCACAGTGGCCATTGGACCTTTAGGAAGGTAAATGGGAAAAATGATGAAATAAAAGACCTATTTTAATTCTGGGATAATATCCAGGTTTGATTAACTTGCATGTTCAGATATTTTAAAATACAGCAAGGGCTATTTCTGAAGGGTCCAATAGCGGTGAAGACTACTTTTGGTAAACTATTGTTATTTTATTGCTTTTTTTTTGTTCTAGTTATTACAGAATAGATGGCTTTATAACAGGGGAATTTGCCAGCTGAAATGTTTCCTGATGAATAACTTTTATGTACAATTTTTCTGTATCTATAACTCCACGTTTATAAAGAGGGCCTTGAGAAAGTGTTTACATGACTATTATGACAGTGGAGAAAGTAATTGATTTTAATACACTCCTCTTTTTCAAGGTATGGTATGTTCTAGTTTGGCAGACTGGTTTGCCCCTTTTTGTCTTCATACCAAAAATATATTGTTTTTCCTACCTGCAGCTTTGTTCAACATTTTCAGAGACCATGTCACTGTTTTTCCAGAATGCCAGACATCTGTTTGTTCCCCTATGAATGTTGTGGAAAAAGACTGGTGCTCAGTGTGAAGAGCCAGTAACTGTCCTACATAGGTTCAACTCCAAACCTTTAAGGCTAACACATATGCACTCATATATTGGAGGGCTGTGATGAAACATGCAGATGTACAAGGACCACTCTGAAGCACATGTGTAATTCTCGTGCTACCTCTTGGTTATCGATTACTCTGTAGAGACTGAACTTACTCCAGATTTTGCCACAATGGTACATAAACTCTGTAATTTACAACCACTATCCTATGTGTAATAGTTTTCTAAGGGCTAGGGCACTAAATTACCAGTGCCAAGACTTGAATGGTCTACTATAGCAGCAGGAGATCAACCAACGTTGAACTGCTTTGCTTCCTCTCTCAAAGAAGAACTTTGTACCAACCTTTTTAATGCAAATTGCATCTGCAGTCATGCTAAAGTTGTAAGTCTACTCCTGCGTTGTCGAGCAGTGGTCACATAATGACGTTTGATTGGATTTTCAGGATGTTATTTACTCATAATGAAAACATGCACACTCCTATCCTGCTTCTTCCTAATCACAACATTCAGAAGGTATCAAACAGGGTGGATGACTATTGTGTTTTATTTAAAAATAATTTCCTAAAGTAGGCCAGAATCCTGTTTTTCCAAAATGTCCCTCCCTTGTTAGGTTAATGGTAGTCTTTTGTACATGTGTTGAAATGTTTAAAGCTTGTAGGTATGACCATGTTGCCTCTCTTTCTGCCACCACCCTTATTGCCAGAGCTCGTGCAAAGTGATCAAACAGACGCCCCGTCAAATATTTCCGTATGATCACTGCACCAATGCCTCCCACCTATACTGACAACTAGCTGGTAATATGTAACTTCCGGTCATGCACTAAGGTCAGTTGCATGCTCTTTAAACTGGGGACGAGAGATTGGCAGAGAAGGGGAAATGGGTAATCAACTGCTAGATAATTGGTATAATACTCTTATAGGAGATATTGGTAATCTGTGAAGTGGAGAAACGGAGACACTCCTTTGGCTACACTACCTTAAAAACCAACTTTGTTTAGCCTTGCATTCATAGATATGTAGATAGATGCATCGTCTCTTGGCTTTTAAATAGTAACATGCAGGTATTTGAGAATTTCTTTTTCTGCACATATTTCCCAGAATGATGGGCTGAAAATATTGAGAAGAATGTTGTTAACTGTATTTTAAAAGTCCTTCTCCTTTATCTTTAAAGATTCTAATAAATTCACATGAACTCCACTTGATATTCAAGAATGTCCAGCATGGCTCATGTATCTTTCACTGTCTTCCTGTTTGACAAGGTTGATGGGTTTTCCATACTGATTATTGTTTTACTTTAAATGTTTCAGAAATTTGGAAGGAGATGTCGCTATTCGAAGTTCTGCAGCAGTCTTCACATATTGCAAGTCCAGGGGACTGTTTGCTGGAATATCATTGGAAGGGTCTGGTTTGATTGAAAGGAAGGAAACCAATCGCAAGTAGGTCTGCTAGCAAACTGAAGTCATGATATTGATTTCCATTAATATAATGGTTACCATGCCATACTTCAGACCCCTGCCTTTCCTTATTTTTTTCATTTGGGATAAGGCAAGGCAGGATTAGGCAGAATGTCCAGCAAATCATAAGGCCCACCTCCTTGTATCTCTGTTCCACATTAGAAGTAGAGGAAAGCCAGGAAAATTCAGGTCCGGGATGGTGACCAAGCCCTCAGAATACCTCAAGTTTGCTGTTTTTTAAAATGGCATTTCTTCTGCTAATAATATTTTATATTTAACCTTAGATGCGCAATAATTTGCCGGTTTAAGCCCCACAAAGTCCTTTTATGAGCACACTTATTTTTTGAACAATGCAAAATGTTAATGAAAGTCTATAAAGTAACTGAACTGTGTTTGGCATCACACGTATAAGATGTATGTAATGCAGCAGGCGTCCATATTGTCAAGTACCGGGAACCTGCTGAGAGGCATGTGGGAGCGACATCAAAAGCACCCACCTGTGGCTTTGCTCCTCTTTCATCGCGTTATAGGCTACACAGCGAAATTACATAAATATGTCAGTTTCTTTTCTCTCACATAATAGATATATAAATGTAACTTTTTGGGTATTGTAATTCTTTTACCACTTGTTTTGGAGTCTCCCCCTGCCCACATAGGACTCACGTCTTATAGATTTGGGCATTTATTTAAATTTTTTTTATTTTAATCTTTTAAACTTTTTTTCCTGTTGAAGGCTGTGTCCGGTGAGGGGGAGAATTCAATTTTTACATCTTCCATGCACCTCTGTTATAAAATGTTATTGAAGTGATCAGTTGCTGAAGGCAGGCACAAGGAACCATTAGATCTGCTTGCTTAGCCCTCTGCTGAAAGTCAACATTTTACAGAATCTTTGGTTTCCAGCAGTGGATCCTTGCAGTAACGGAGCAAGAGAGCAGAAAAAAAACACATTATGGTGCTTGCTATGCAGTGGCATGCTTAAATGGTTTGGCATCATCCCTCTCTGTATGCATTTTTTTGTTAATCTGCAACAAGGTTTCTTACCTGGAGTTCTTGCCAGTAACAGCACTTCCCGTTGCAGGCAGGTTATTCCAAATCATTGCCTCTGCATTAGCAACTGCATTGTCAGCCCATTTTGCATACTTCCCCAGTTAGCGTTGGCCATTGAGCAGCCTATCAGATTTGAAGGAGGCATTCACAGACCTGATAGAGAACCCAACCAGTGGCGGAACAATCGCCATAGAGACCCAGGCGGCCGCTATGGGGCACAAGGGGGCCTGGCAAGGACATCCCCCTGATGCTGTGCGGGCCACTTGGGTCACTATTGCATCTCAGGCTGCTGGCTGTCACTGGCGACTGTGAGGAGGAAAGCGCCGCTGTTCAGATCACTGACAACCTGTCAGTGATGTGTGCAGCGCCGCATTCCTCCTCACAGCCGCTGCTGAGTTAGTGAAAGCCAGCAGCTGCGAAGGAGGAGGCCGGGCCTGTCATTGGCAGTGAGGGAGGAGGCGGGGCCCAGCGATGGAGGAGGCAAGGCCTGTCAGCGACCGTGGAGGAGGCGGAGGACAGTGGATCGGGGTTGACAGGTAAGATGGTTTGACCAGCCCACCATAGAGAGTCTATGGTGGACTTTGCAGACTCACTCTCAGGTGGGCTGTTTGTGTTATCAGGTGGGCACAACTAGAAATCACAGGGCCCCATACAAATTTTGCTATGGGGCCCTGTGATTTCTAGTTACGCCCCTGAACCCAACTGAAGGAGAGCACAAGGTAGGCTGGCAGTGCTACTACTAATTGTGATACAATGGCTTAGTGTTGTCAGCCTGCAACAAGAAGTGTATTGTTGGCAGGATCTTCAGGTAAGAAAAATGTTGTATACAGTGAGGCATGATGCAAATATACTGAAAAATACATTTTGGGTTATGTACACTTTAATTTTTTCCCATACTGGTTCACTTTAACAACATAATAAAATATTTATTTTAATCAAATAATTAAGTATTTTAGGTCTGAATGTTGAAATTCTAATGACAAGTATCTCTGTCCTTTGGCAAGATATTGTTCTCTAAACACCTGGTGCTTCATGTATTTAAGGTGTCAGTGCATAGAACTAGTTATTTCCCCACAGCCACCAATAGGCTTCAGATTGCAGAAAATAGCATAAACTATCATTAATTCAGAAAACAAATTACTCCTTGAAACCCTCTGGGTCTGCCTACAAACCGGAGAGGGATCTTCCTTTAGGACCGGTGTAGTATACAGGCCCGCAGGATAGTCAGAGGATTATGATAACCTGTTGATTGATGAGCAAACTCAAATGACATTGAAGGAGGAGGTTTTAATTATTGTTACCTTCAACATGCCGGACAGTAACTGAAGTTCTCAAATTCCGGTTATAGGCTGGAGCTGAGAAATGTTGGAGGCATTGAAAGGGGTTTCTCTAAGACAGTTAGTAAAAAGACCAACGAAAGGAGTTTGTATTCCAGATCTGGTACTAACCAATGGGGATCATTTGTCTGATGTTGAAGTGGGAGAACGTTTTGTTTTGTACTGATCACCAGTGTCTTTGGTTTAAAATTAGAAAAAAACTAAAAGTTCATGTACAAAAACAATAATTTTAGATTTCAAAATGAAATATTTTGCTGGAATGGGTACATTTTCTAAAAAAAGATGTCAAAGTTGTCAGTAAAATGGCAGAAGTCAATAATCAGTAGGTATTATTAAAGTCTACCATCCTGAAAGCAACTCGATTTATATGTCAGACAAATTAATAAGAGTAAACGAAAGAGGAAACCATTATGTTAATATACAGGTTAGTAGTAAGTAGGGTAGTGAAAGAGAAAAAAATCAGCATATTGGAGATACAAGGAAACGGATAGTGTAGCTGACAGAGAATTGTAATTGCTAAAGCACAAAGAGGAAAAAATAAAAGGATAAACACGTTAAGAAAGGAGACAAAACCTTTTTTTGAGGTATTATCAGTGATAGGAGGAAAAGATACTATGGGATCACAACAATTAAAACTCGGTTCATTACTTATGTTAAGGAAGATCTGGATGTAGCAAACCATTTTAACAATTTACTTCTGTCCAACTTTCTAAGGAGTGAATGAAACTAACAAAAAAAAAGTTGGAGGATCCTATTGGTTCTAGTGGTAAAGGTTCATTTCCAGGGTTTCTAGAGGCAGAGGCTCTATAGAGATAACATGACTGTGACTGGTACAGTTAATATTATACCTACCTGATATTGTACCTATTCACAAGTAGGGTAGTAAGGAAGAAACTGAGGACTACAGGCCAGTAAGTTTAATAACTGAAGTAATAAAATTAATTGAATCACTCCTAAAAAAGTATCGGCTGTCACTTATAAGACACGACTTGCTGGACCCAATGCAGCATAACTTTACTGGGGGCAGATCGTGTCAAACTAATCTGATATAATTTGAGTCTAATGTTTTGAATTAGGGTGGTGCTGTGAAGATATCTTGATTTCTGCAAAGCATTTCACATGGTTCCACATAACAATCACATAAAAAGGTTGTACAGGCTAGGACTTATTCCTTGGGACTTCACAAATATTGTAGACATGAAACGACGCCTCAAGCAGTTCACATGATAGATCCCAGACCACGCGTGCCACAACCCCTTTGTTAGGCAGAGGCCTCAGGGCTCACTAGGGTGGCAAAGTTATTGAATTGCGCAGCCACCGTTTAATAAACTGCAGACACTTTATCATATTGCTTCCTCCAGATATTTTCAGTACAGTACAAATTTTTGATATCACGCTGTTTTCAGCATTCAAATATCACACCGTCTTGGATGTTGTAGTCAAAAAATGCAGATCTGCTTATAATTTCCTTGATTTCACAGCTTTCACATTTCTTAGATTCTTTGTGTCTACTTTCTTTTAAAAATGTTCTTCTTGCAGCCGCGTTACTGTTATTGTGCTTTATTGTAGATTTTACTGTCAGGATGACATCCGAGCTTATGAGATACTGTTTGGTGAGATTCCGCGCCCCGCTCCGGCTGATGAGCTTTATGAGATTCTGGACTCCTTCACAGAAAAATATCAAAATGAAGAGCAGAGTGTTAACATGAGAAAACTGGCCAGAGAACAAAAGAAGGTACACATTGTTGGAATAGGACATCAGGACGCCTTATTTCCTACATATTGGCTGTGTGTTCTTCATTCTCTCTATTTACAGTAATTACAGGATTAAATAGCCCTCTGCAAACTACTGAATGCTTAAACACATTACAGGCAGTACCCGGGTTACATACAAGATAGGGACTGTAGGTTTGTACTTAAGTTGAATTTGTATGCAAGTCGGAACAGGTAAATTTTTTAAGTGTAACTCCAGCCAAAAAAACATTTTTTTGTTTTGGATAGCATAGGGAAGGGTCACGTTTGTTTTGCTGTCTGTTCCTGTTGTTCAGAAGATTATAATATAATTAAAAAAACATTTTTTATTTAAAATGACACACCAAAAAAAGTTTTTTCCTATTTTTTATTTTATTTTATAAACTTTATTTTTATTTGTTTGCATTTTTAATTTTCATTAACTTTAATTTTTTTTACATTTTTTTTTTGTCTTTTTAATTAAATCTTTTAATTTTTTTTAAACATTCCTACGCAAGTAGACTGGTATAAACGCACAATCTCTTACGCAGTGATGACCAGCACAGGTAAACTCCATGAACACCATAGCCTAATCCTAATCCAAATTCATAGTCTGTAATCAGAACAGGAGTCGGGGCAGGCAGCGAAGGATCAGGGTCCGATAACAAAGCCAAGGGTCAATACACAGGAAAGCAGCAGGATAATAACGCCAGGCACTACAAAGACAAAGCTCTGCAACAACCAAGCACAGACTGATAAGATTGGATTGAATTTATACCTGTTAGCGCTCTGCTGATTTCACGGCTGGAGGTGGACCACTGTAGGGACTTGCTTGGAGAAATGCACGCTGTCTCTTTAAGAGGCGGTTCAGTGTGCTCACACATGCTCAGCACATCACCGGATCTAGGAAGTTTACACAGGTGGCTAGTTACTGAGCAGCAGCCACTGGAGCCAGAGAGCATAGGAGACACACTGACTGCTCCCTGTAGCTGATCAAGCAGACAAGGATACGACTGTGAGAGGCCTGGGATTTAATGTCACCTGGTAGTTGGATGTCTGACGATACCAAAAGTGTTTTCATAATGAGGATCAAAGTACAGTATTTCTAAATTAAAAATAGGGCATTTTAGTGGTCATTTTAGATACAAATCATACCTAATAGCTTCCCTTTATGGTCCATTTCATTCTTCAGATTCCAAAAACAATTCCCATCATTCTATTTCATGATGCAAGTAATCAGTGCTATCTGTGGTTGTCTCACGGTTAAATGTATTCGCACATTCTCCTTCTGTCGGGTAAGAGGATATTTGTTGAAAGTCAATAAGGCATAGTCACATCTGTTTTTGTGGAACCCTGGCTGTGCATCACTGTCTTTTGGATTTGCATTCATTTTGTTAAATTGTTTCTCACGAGTGCCCAATATGGTTCATATTCTTACAGACAGGACGGGTACTAACTTTCTGAATCATGGCTATAATAGATGTTATTGGAAAAGATGAAGATAAATGATAAGTGTCTTTGATGTCAACGTGGGAACAAGCTCAGATACGCATACTTGTGCAAGCAAATAGCCAAAGTAAATAGTATACAGGAGACTTTTAGCTTGTCAGGTTGAGATACATATCACAGTGGTTGTGAGAAACCGATAAATGAAGATGGCATTCAGATGCCATATATGACATTGCCTATGGAGCCAACTCTTAGTAGCTTTTGAAACAGTCTCTTGTTATGGTGCTCACAAACATAAAAGGATTTTGTCCAGATCACGTCATATTCATTCTATCTGTGGTATCATACCCTGCAGGAAGCTGATCAGACCGTATTAACTTTTGTATTAGATGACTGTCGTTTCACAGGGAAAAGGTTAATGTCTGTTAAGTCCACGTCCCCTCAGCAGCATACAAGTCCATGTCCCCACAGCAGCATACAAGTCCTTGTCACCACACCAGAATTATTCTCACCAGGCTGTGTGCTGATCTCTCCCGGGCGACATGTCAATCTCTGCAGGCAGTTCCTATGCTGTGGAGTGTGCCAATGTGTGGGGCTGTACTGTGCTGTGTGTGGGGCTGTACATGGCTGTGCCTGCGCTGGTAAGGAGCAGGAGGACATATATAACTGGACATGGACAGCTATGTGCAGGTCCACAGCAGACTGTCGAGGTCGCCACAAGCCCGGGAACTCGGACGCCCGCTGCGATTTGCAAATGTAAAGGGCCGGTACTGGCCTTAAGAATCAGGGTATTTTCACGAGTACACATGAAAATGCCTGGTATCGGCCCCGATACCGATACTAGTATCTGTATCAGGACATCCCTAAGGTAAACTTTCTGTCCAGGTTGACAAACATGCATGCTTGGTGGCTACATGACCACACGTCAATCATTATTTGGCAGTTGGATCGTGCCATTGTATCCTAACATCATCCTTTAACACATAAGTGAACCCACGGGCAATTATAAAAGGCGCATATTAATGCAGCTCTGTATTCATTGATACATCCTTGAATGTATTTCTTTTTTAAAGCAGAATTCCAGTCAAACATAACAAGATTTAAAAATGATAAAAACAGCCAATTAAAAGATAACTTAACAAAAGCAGGGTTTTCTCTAGTATTCACCTTCAGTCTAGAAATTTCTCCCACAGAACTTTTTTCTACCAAATGATGTCCTAGGTCTGATAGCCAGCATCATTCACCCCACTTCCTCTAAGCCCAGGTCGTCATGGACTAAATGCACCCTTTTACTAGACAGTGAAAGGAGAAGCAGCACAATGATGAGTGTATCTCTCTGTCCTTCTGCTTTCTCTTCTCATCAACACATGGACTTATTGGCACTTTGTGCTGCTTCTTCTTCATCTCACAACCCTGGCCCAATGTACAAGGACTGCAAGAGACTGAAACCAGGTCAGATTCAGGTACTTACACTGCTTGCATTTAACAAATACATTTATTGCTCTGTCTTTTATATCTGCCTAGAGTTCAGCTTTAAATGTGAACAGTGTAAGTACCTGAATTTAACTTGGTATTAGCTTCTAGCAGTCTACTGTATAACAGAGATCAGAGATGGGGAGAGAGAAGCAGCCCAGTAATCAATCAAGTGTACTGCAATGCGAGGAGAATTCTGTAAGTGAAAGTAAAACTTCATCAGAGAAAGATCAGGCCCCCTCCCCTGCCCAGTAGTACTGTTTTATGTGGCATAGCTGTGTAAATCCCAGGACCGTATGGGCAGATATACAAATCCTTTGACAGGTACAACAGCTCTCATCTATGTTTTTCATCTGTATAATTAGCTGTTTGCCTGATGTTCAGAAGCTTTTCTCTACGGATTAATACCTAAAATTTCACATTTTCAAAAGCTTCTTTCTTTGGTACTTATCATTTCTTTACTTTATTTTTATCTTTAAGGCCAAAGAAATATCAGTAAAGTCAAGCAGACCACATTCCTACCAAGCAGGAAACGGCAAAGAAGGTAAGGAAAAGTGAGGCAGAGGTAATGTTTCTTGGTATCGGACGTGTCCATTGGGGTTGTAGAGAGTTTAGATTTGCCGTGCTGGTAAAAAAACACAGTTGCCTGGGTTCTGTAAAACTGACTTTGAAAGCAAGTGTTCTCTCCATAAACTTGATCAAAATGATCTGATCTTCATCAGAATAAGCCATCATTTTTGGACTGTACTTGTTTTGAGAAATTCTTATTCTCAACATTAAAGTGAATCTATTCTTCACTCCGCTATGGGTGCCTGAATGGCCAATTGCCAGGACTAAGAGCTGTCATGTGGGATTGGAGAAAGGAGGGTTAGTTCTTTGTAAGCTTCAACACAATAAAATGGGCAGTGGGGAAGCAAGTGGGACGTAAGTACTATCAAGCTATCCTAAATGTGAAAGTGCAGGAAAAATATACACTTCAGTAAGAAATGTTATTCGATGCTGCTGCTTAGCTGTGTTTGGATGTTTTCTATGACGGCACACATTAAGTGTCAGCACCAAAGCTAATATTTCAGTTGATTTGCTTAATATTTTAGTATTTTCCTTTTACCTCTTGTGGAATCCATTTGTGCACATCAGTTGTAGGCATTAGGAGTCAGTTTCTCTGTCCCTGCTATGTTTTTTTGTTTGTTTTATATAATGAGCAAGGAAGGAACACCCCAAGCTGGGCTGGAACCAGACGGGAAGAGAGCCTAAAACTTAGAATATTTGTGCAAAGATCTAAAAGCTGTAAGGTTTTATTACAGGAATCGGTGGAGGTTGTGGTGCCAGTACTTTACAGCATTAATATGGTTTGTAGGTAGTTTTATGTGATTTAAGGAATAATCTACTGTTAGGTTAGGGGAAGAATTAGGCTCTCTTGTGCTGCAGGCATCATACACCCTAGTTCTGCGGTCGTACCTTTGCCACCCTCTCCTTATGATCATTCACGACCCCGGGGTAATTTTGTGAATAGCCAGGTGGAAAGGGGGGTGGAGACATACTTGAAATGCTTACTTCCACATTGACCATTAAGTACAGAAGGATCTGTACTAACCCAACATGTGAACAAACTGATTTCTATGACATAAACTAAAGCCCACGTGTTGGGGATTTTTTCGAGGCAAAGGGAGGTTTTGCTGCTGTAGAAATGATAAGGGTATTGTTCCTGGAGTTGGCTATATGTATAAAGGGTTAATTTTAATTGTTTAGGTTTAGGACTGAGTAGGGTTAACTTTTTTCAGAGGGAAAGAGTGCGGTGAAGGGATAGGATGGAGGTCAGGAACATGGATGCACACATTATATTTAACAGTTCTGTGCTGTGTCCATAGCACTGCACCAAGAATTGCACTGGCACTGAAAACAGACCTGAAGCTATCAACAATGGAGTCCCCAAGTGATGTAAAAAGTCACTGGGCGTCTCAGCACACCATTTTCCAACTATAACTGATATAGCACTTTTGGGCCAACTGACCCTTAATAATCTGCATCAGATTTCGACCTACTATAGCCCAAAGGCTTGTTTTTGAAGCATGGGCTCTCTGTATAGGAGAAAGCCCAAGCCTCTAGAGACTTTGTGATCTGAATGTAAAACAGATCCTCTGAAATTCAGTAGTATGGAATTCAGTGGCATGATATGGAATGATAATCAGTTTAGCAGCTGGAGGCACTGGAGTTCAAAATACTAAACTTTCTGGAGCTCACATTTGTAAGTTAAGTCATTCCGGATGGCGATAACCTATTAAGTACATTTTCTAATTATTTTTGTCTTGACTCTTCTTTAAAAACGAAGTAAATGGAGCACAAAATTGTGTTTGACTGCTAGGTAGTACAGATGCCTTTTAAAGCGGAAGGACAGCTGATCTAAAAAAAAAGTTTGGGGGGTGATCAGGGGATTTTAGGCTTAATGCACAGCATATTAACACATTAGGGCAGTCTTATCTGCTGAAACAATCCCCTCCAGATTCTCCTCCACCGGTTCATCTTTCTTTGTCCTGGTCTTCCTCCGGATTCAGGGTCTTTGGCCACTTGATTGCCATGCCATGATGATGTAACTCCTGTGCAATAATCTTGCCAAACC